CCCACAGAAAAGCATACACATTGAACAATACGATTAGTAATCTATTTTTGTTAGGTTTGATAATATAGTAAGAGAAAAATGGCATAAAGCAGTGAACCAGGGCCCACAGAAAAGCATACACATTGAACAATACGATTAGTAATCTATTTTTGTTAGGTTTGATAATATAGTAAGAGAAAAATGGCATAAAGCAGTGAACCAGGGCCCACAGAAAAGCATACACATTGAACAATACGATTAGTAATCTATTTTTGTTAGGTTTGATAATATAGTAAGAGAAAAATGGCATAAAGCAGTGAACCAGGGCCCACAGAAAAGCATACACATTGAACAATACGATTAGTAATCTATTTTTGTTAGGTTTGATAATATAGTAAGAGAAAAATGGCATAAAGCAGTGAACCAGGGCCCACAGAAAAGCATACACATTGAACAATACGATTAGTAATCTATTTTTGTTAGGTTTGATAATATAGTAAGAGAAAAATGGCATAAAGCAGTGAACCAGGGCCCACAGAAAAGCATACACATTGAACAATACGATTAGTAATCTATTTTTGTTAGGTTTGATAATATAGTAAGAGAAAAATGGCATAAAGCAGTGAACCAGGGCCCACAGAAAAGCATACACATTGAATAATACGATTAGTAATCTATTTTTGTTAGGTTTGATAATATAGTAAGAGAAAAATGGCATAAAGCAGTGAACCAGGGCCCACAGAAAAGCATACACATTGAACAATACGATTAGTAATCTATTTTTGTTAGGTTTGATAATATAGTAAGAGAAAAATGGCATAAAGCAGTGAACCAGGGCCCACAGAAAAGCATACACATTGAATAATACAATTAGTAATCTATTTTTGTTAGGTTTGATACAATTAGTTTTGTAAGGGACCAGTCATTAGTTATTGCTAGGGGAGGGAGGTGGGGGTGGGCAAATGATTTTTTTGGGGGGGATCACATGGTTTTCAGGAGGAAAAGAGGGGAATTAAATGTTGCTAACAGAGTATAAAGGGCACACTATAGATAATTGACTGCCAATAGATCATTTTTCAGTTGCGTGCTTGGTTGCCTAGCCTTTAAACAGGAGTGGGGCTAAGCATGACCTTGTTAAGACACAAACATTGCTGTTTTTCAAATGTAAATCATTTATCACGCTAACTAGATACTGGTCTCTATCACAACAAGGTCATTTTCAGCCTCACTTCAAATCAAAGGTTTGGCAACTACCGTCAGTACACAATTGTAAAATGGCTTATTAACTGCCAAATTGGAGGAATCTTAAGAATATTTCAGAGCCTTATCGGGATTGGGTGGATTTCACAGTGATACAACTAAAATCCTGGCAATAAATAATAACCTGTCCCTGAATCTGGTTAACAGAGATTTCTCCTATAAAATAGCTGATGAAAGTGAAACCTGAGTCAACTATTTTACATAGAAATTGGGGGTGAATAGTATAATTGTTTCAGAATAAATCTGCCAGTTATTTAAATCCTAACAACAGGACAGGCTCATAGTTTTATTTTCTTCTCTTAGCGACCTCACAATTATAGGCCAATCAATTCACTCATGAACCTATCAGGCAAAATGTAGCCAGTAGCGTTGCAAGTCCGGTTACTACATTTGTGGCGGAATGCTAGTAGATTTGTATGAAAATGATGTACTTGCATGACAAAGATTCACTCCAGTGGGGAGGGGAGATATCATTTCATGGGCTGAGGGGTTTAAGCTACTTCCAGTAACAACACAGATATAACATATGTGCATTTCCAACTTTATCACTGATCATAAATGTCTTCATTTACAAACCTTCTCCAGAGTCTAGCCTTTGTTCTGCCATCTTTATAGTCTTCTCTTTTGCTGCCCCCTCAAGTCCCTTTAAATATTTCAGCAGAATGTCAAAGTTTTCATTGGAGATCTAAAAAAAAAATCTGATCAGTAATTAAGTTTAAATCTTTTGTACCTCAATTAATACCAAAAATTATTTCTTTAAAGCGATTTTCATGTTTTTCAGGTGGGTTGTACCCTGAGTGATAATACATAGCAAAATCAGGGACTCATGAGAGGCTGAGGTTTCTGTTTCCAAATCCAAAACATATTTTTTTTCCTTACTTCCTTGTCACTTCCAAGTAAGAGAACTTTGCTTTTACCTACTCTATCATCAACCCTTCTTTATTTAAGTATTAAAGTTTTGGGTGCATTCTGTTCAAAGCTTCTTTTAAGTGCTTTCAAGTTTAACAATGACTAAACAATTAATTTTCACTTACTTCTTCTTGATCAAACATATTCTTTAAAAGCCACACTTGACGAACTTTCTTAAAGTTCCAGTGTTGTCTTTTGTAATGCCAAGTGTGTAAGTAGTCAATAGCTGGATGAAGGGCAGGATTTGATTCCTCTTGGGGTTCTTGTCTAGATTTCTTTTTTCCTTCATTATTCATATCTTCCTAGACTGCTTCCTCCCAAGTCTCTAACAGTTTCTTATGAAGTCCTTTACTACTTTGGGTATCATATAGGTAATGTAATTCCTTTCCTGTTTTCTTCTTTTTCTTTTTCTTTTTGCTATCTATCTCAATATCATCTCTGTTTACATCACTAGTGGTTTCCGGGTTACCTACATGTTGTTCTTCCAAAAAAGTATTATCATCATGCCTCTTTTTGGTTCTTTTCTTCCCAACAACAATGTAGGATTTTTTCACATTTTTATCATACGTGCCTTTGGAATTTTCCCTATTCTCGTGTTTCTCTTCATTTTGAACCGGTGAACTGTCATTACCACGTGCCTTTTTCTTTCGTTTCTCTTTGTTGAGACTTTCTTGATCGCTGCTTTCGTTAAACCTGTCTTCTTTGCCGAAATTAACGAGCTGATCTTCGCCAAAATATCGCAGTTTACTCTGTTCTGAGCTTGTGAGTTCTTGAGTTCTTCCACGAGGTTTTAGCTTACCCTTGGCTTCTCTCTCTTTTTGTTTGCCTTTAGATTGGCAATTATCAGCTCCGCTATTGCACTCTTCCGATCTCTCAACAACTGCCTCCTTCTTTCTTTTCTTTCCCTCTTTACTTGAACGATCCCTTTGGTAGTTCTCTCCATCAGAATCTCGAGCGCGTTTTTGCCCTTTCGGCAAAGCTCCACTCTCACTCAATTTGCGAGCCATCGCAACACTTTCCTGACCCCAACACCCCTCGTATTTTTTAGCTTTCTTTTGAGTTTTCTTTTCCTCTTTTGAATTCCCCTATGCCATAACGAAAAAGATGCTGGGACGAGAGTTCTACCGGTTTGATCTCTTCAATTTCACGAAAAGTACTGCGATCAACCCGCCATGTTGAAAGTTACCGAGAGGGAATCTGGGTCAAAGGAGGTAGATGCAGCCCCATTCCTTTTCAACCTCTTGAAAATTAAATGTCAGGGAAACCTCACTCTGGTATAAGCTTGGTTCAATTCTCTCACTCACTCACTTCAAGCCTGACTAAGACCAAACCAGAAGGAAGTACCCTCTGGCTGGTAAGGTGACTGAACCCTTTTTATTTTTCCTACTGCCTGCCAAACAATTACTAATGTGTTAGCTGGGAGAATTTGGAACTGGATCAACTTATAATCCCCTTGTTTATATTTTTCTCTTTTTCTTATCACCTGTCTGCTTGATATTGTAGTGATATTGTCAGGAAAAATTCTGTTTTGGTGATTTGTGGGAGTTCATTTGCCAATAACCTTTTTGTTGCATTAATCAAATCAGTAACAAAATTCTCGGGCATGATTGATTATCAACAGCAAGATTTAAGCACTGATAGGACAGTGTATGCATCATGCTCATAATTGGACAGTGTCATAGGACAGTTGACACACCATACCTGTGTAAGCGGACAGTATAGGTGATGTCCATGCGCTGTTGTTGTGCATTTCACCAAGTTATAACTGTTTTGTTATGTTATGAATACTTATAACCAATGTCTAGTTTCTTCATCAAATTGGACTCTACTTAGTCCCATTACCATTATTAATTAAAAAAGAGTTTAGTTTAGCCTTTGATTCACACCAGCTCAGACTACAAAATGATTCAAAAATACTGAATGATACTATATCATGTAGTCATTTCTTTTGGGCACAGGATGCTGCAAGGCTGTGCTCTAAGAAAAATTGAAGGGGCCCAGTGCTCTGAAACAGTGAAATCCAGAGTGCCCAGCACATGTTTCTTATGAAAACACTAAGATTCCTGAGTCGGCTAAGAGCAAAAGTAAGGTGCCAGGGGCCAGTGGGCACTGCTAGACCACAGCCCTGATGCTGACTGGCATTGGTTATATCACTGATACAAATTGGGTGGTAGCTTCCTTCCTTCCTTCCCTTTAACCCCAAAGAATGACTAGCGTTAAATTACGCCCTATTCTATAACACCTGGATCAAACATAAAGGTGATGGGAATAAAGGAAATGATCATCTATGAATGTCTTGTTTGATAAACAAATTTTACTTGTCAGAACCGTAGGAAATCCCACTAAGTATGGGAGAAATGTTGGATTCTAAAGTAACTCTTAAAGTAAAGGACTCTTGTTAAAAGACAATCAAATGTTCCTGTCATTATTTCAAAAGCAGTGTGTCTCAGAGATTATTATCCTCTGAAGGGTCCTAAAGTTGAAATGTTTATATCAGCACCATGGGAAATTAAGAGTTGTTTCATTTTATCCTTGCAGGCTATGGCGGCAAGAAACAAAGGAGTCTCCCCTGTCACTCTCCTTGCATTGATGTTAGTCCCATGTTGCAACAATATTTGTGCAATATTGGTGTGGCCCCTAAGTGCCGCTTCATGGAGTGGTGTATCACCAGAATCACTACACTTATTGACATCACTTCCTCTTTTAATGAGGAACTCAACAACCTCTTCATAGCCATCAAGAGCTGCTAAGAACAGTGGCGTTTTGCCCTCATAGTCACGAACATGAAGTTCTGCACCATTGTTAAGTAAAAGTTCTGCAATTTCTTTCTCTGTCGAGTAGTGAAGTGGGGTCCTTCCGTATCGATCGGTCAAATTTACGCTGCCTCCACTTGAAAGTAACATTGCAACAATTTCTTTGTTGTTAATTTTTCGCACTGCTAGGCTCAGTGGCGTTTCTCTTTTAGCGGACATGGCATTTACATGACTTCCTCTTTTTAGCAGGTAAGAGACAACTTCCATGTTGCCTTCTTTAGCTGCATTATGAAGAGGAGCATAACAAGCCATGTTTGACAAATTTACGCTGCTTCCATTTTGCACTAGTATCTTAACGCATTCTAGACGTCCTTCTTCTGCAGCAAGCAAGAGAGCAGTGTCACCAAATCCTGTACATGCATGGAGATCAGCTCCATTTTGAATGAGAATGGCTAAAATGCCTGCATGACCCTTCACAGCGGCCATGTGTAACGCACTCCTACCCCATGTTGACTTACTGTCGACAGCAACACCCAAACGAAGTAAGTACAAGACGGTTTCTTTACTTCCTCCCATGGCCGCATAGTGAAGAACTCCTCTCCTACTCCTATCCTTGCCATCAACGTTTGCACCGTTTTCAGACAAAACTCGTACAACTTCACACGAGTTCGATGCTGCCGCAATCAAAATGGGCGTGGCATCTCCATCATCTCGAAATGGGGACGGCTTGTTGATGTCTTCAGTTCTCCAAGCTTTAAGACTCTTTTTACCTGTCTGACACTCCCTTTCATTGCTGATTCGTGAATGAGCGACAAACGCTGTGTATATTTTTCAGCCTTCTCGAGAACCTGCAATAAATCTGAAGAGCAGTTCCTGGTTTTGACAAGATCTCTCAATGTTGCGTTGGTTTCGTACGTGTCTATTAACCTCTTAGGAACTCTGACATCGAAGGCTATTCCTGTGTCCAGTTTGCTGGGGCTACAAGACAGAATAGTTTTGCAAGTTCTAAAGTCCTTTTCAATACATGCTGCGTGTAGCACGCTACAACCACCATAAGTCTGTGGCGTAGTGACAGCTTCAAAGGCAAGAGCCACTAATCTTTCCGGAGTCGCCATTTTTTGCGAGTACCTTGCTTTCTCTTCTCAAGAAAGCACCAATCGAAAGTTACCTTGCCTCCAGGGTTGCTCTTCGAAGAAGTTGGAGGTGAGATTGGGGAGAGACAGTCGAACAGCCATCTCATCGTTGTTCAAGTGTTCAAGCGGTAATATTAAATGGAAAGTTTGTGAAGTAAAATAGACCAAGACCTCTCAAGTCTCACGATTTTGTCGTGAGACTCACGATTTTCAGTTCAATCTCACGGTCTCACGATGAGACTGACAAATCGCTCAATAAATAGAAGCGCAAGCTGAAAGGATAAATTTTTTGTATAATTTCATTTTTGGCTTGCTAGAGCTGAGATTTTTGTGCCAATCCTGTACAAACCCATAACAAACCAAGCTGTTACGTTCTTCATCCGTCTGTTCGCTGGAAACACCGTGAGTCGTCCATGACCATGTATAGAACACCAGTTCCAAATTAGGTCATCATAACCAGTCTCTCACATTTTGACACGACACGTTATATCAAAATGGCGGCAATTGATGAACCTGATAAATAATAATGAATATTTAAAGTTTATTTCTGTGTTGTTAAGGTCCACACATGTTTTAGGTGAATTATGGTAAAGGTAAAGTCTGTTTACGAGCCAAGTGGCCCATTAGGCCGGTGCTTAACTCCGGTTTCTGTAGCATGAAGCGACTAGGAGTATTTCAACTCCCCCCTAGATGGGATGCCAGTCCATCGCAGGGTTACCCCCAGCATTAAATTGCCGGTACCCAGGTCTAGTCTTCTATGAAAGGGGACAGAAGAGGAGATATAAACTCCCACACCTCCACCTTTGCCTGTTTTCCTCGGTCTATTAATGAACGTATAGCCATCCAGTTGAACTTGAGCCTCTTCACTGTCCGATAGATGAGTCTCACTGAGGGATATGATGTCTATATGCTTGGAATCATCGATCATTTGGCATAGACTATCCTTATTCGCCACGAGGCCTCTGATATTTTGATGAATAATTTTAAGCCCATTTTTCGTTGACAAATCCCGAAGATCAGACAGAATGTCACGTGAACTAGAGGAGCCAACAGGACCAGGTTGAAGTTCAACATCATTTGCGAGACGAATAAGTAGTAAGGAAAGAGAGGAATTAATCGTAAAACGGCATCCAAGGAGTAGAAGTCTTGAATTCGGCAGCTGGAGATTCTTTGCATGTTGCGAGCTCGGTGACTGATGGTTAAAATGTTGAATTTTCACTGTCGTCAGACCGTGAGAAATGAAGAGAAGAGTATCAGCAGATATATCGAGGTCAGGATTAGTCTTGGGAAGGAGTGTACCAGAGAAACAAACGTAGAAATAAAGCAGAATGATCCAGTATCTAAGAGCTCTAAAAACGTGACCGTCCGCCATATTGTCATGTCACAAATCAAGCAAAAGAAAACTGTGATTTGTTTGTAATGATGACCTTAATAGTATTCCTTATGAAGTTTTTCTTACTACATCCATCCACTACCAGTAACCCCACAACGCAGTGGATAAACAAGTATTCAAATAAATAAACAAATGAATTACCCTTTAGTATATTAGAATAATCCTGTTTCACCAAATGTTTAGAAATATGATTACCTCATATTAAAATAATTTAACCTTGGTTTAGATTTATTTCCTCTGATCTAAATTTTGGGAGGCACATTCAAATACAAGTAATTTGTAGAAGGCAACCCTGGAAAATCTGGGGGTAGAGGTGAACTACAGGTTTGTAGCAGGCCATGCAACCATCCAAAATTTACTGATTACTGTGAAACTAGGAAAGCCACAAACACTTTGATTTTATTCTCACAGGACAGTTGTGAATAATTCAACACAAAATTCAGGAGTGGGCAAACTCCATACTGCTGCTGTATAGTTGTCTTGACATGAAGGGACGGAAATCATCTTCACTGTAAGTATTCCAGAGAGTCTCATACATTTTCTTTGACTTAAAGTCTAAGAGAATGTATGGGACTTTTTGAGCACTCCAGACAGCTTTCCTGTAAGGCATCATAATCCGGCAATTATCTGTCACATCTATGTCAGCAGCAACAGGTTTATGACACCTTACAGGAAAGCTGCCTGGAGCATTCAAAAAGTCCCATACATTTTCTTAGACTTCTAGTCTAAGGAAATGTATTGGAATCTCGGGGATAATTACAGTCATAGATAACAGTAAAAAATGCAATTTTCAAATGGGTTTCAGACCTCAGAGTTCAAATGATTTGAAAAAGTGCATACCCCAATAAAACTTCAGTCTGTAATGTAATAGTCAGGAAGGTTTTTGCCAGCTACTTTAAAAAAATTCTTTTTTAAAAAATTTTTTAAAAAATTTTTTTTTAAAAATTTTTTTAAAAAATTTTTTTAAAAAATTCTGACTCTTTCAACAGTCGACTTAACACCTGTTAAATTTCCGCAGCCTTATTTTGCGCGCAGTAAACAGAGTACAAGTCATTCCTTTTGTGTCGTTGAACAGGGATCTGTTGTCTGACCGCATCCACATAATCCATGTCTACATCGGCCAAAATTACTTCTTCGTGCTCGCCAGCTTGCGCTATAATCTTTCCCCATGGGTCAATAACACTACTATAACCCCAGCAGGTATATGACTTGTTATTATCTCGAGCAGGTGATGCAGTAACAACGTACACTTGGTGATCTATCGCTCGAGCTCTTTGCATAACGGCCAGATGCGCAGGGCCAGTCACAGTGTTGAACGCTCCTGGATACAGCAACAATTGACATCCCTTCTGACAATAAATCTGCGCGAGTTCTTGGAATCGTATATCATAGCAAAGTCCTACACCGATTTTGCACACGGGTGTAACAAAGATTCCGAGATCGACGCCCGGTTCCAGGTTCCCGTATTCTTGATGGTCGTAAACACGACCCGGGCGATCGATTTTAAAGAGGTGAATCTTTCTGTATTTCAAGATCATACGACCGTACGGATCAAAAACAAGACACGTGTTGTAAAGCTTTCCTGATGGATCCTTCTCGATGATCGACCCGCCTACAATGTAAGCGCGGTGATCTCTGGCGCTTTTTGACAATACATCGGTTGATGGACCAGGTATTTCTTCTGCAAAGTTGCGAAAGTCATCCCCGGTATTTGGAGCAGGTGTAGTTGCAAATTCTGGAAGCACAATGAGTTTAGCGCCTTTCTTCACAGCTTCAAATATAAGTTGTTGTAACCTCTGCAGATTATGATCTTTTCGTTCCGTTGGAAGGTGTTGAATCGATGCAACACGAAATTTCTTTCCACCTGAAAAGATGCCAAGTTCGTCAGCCATTTTGATTTTTTTTTAAGAGAATTTATTTCCGTACAATACATGACGTACCTACTCAGTCCTGTCCGCTACAGTCTGAACCTGGGGCGGGGCGCCGCCTGGCACTTTTTTTGTGAACCTGTGTAGCGTTGCAGTTGAGTCTTCCGTTCCAGTTATGTCCTCACAACTAATAGCCAATAGAATGTGGTTTTATTTCATCCAATCAAAAGGCGTTGTGAACGTGTCTCTTGCTTATCACTTCCCAACTAGGGGAGGGATGCAATGCAAAAATATTAATTGTAAGAAGATCGTTAGATTTCCGCGCTCAAAGGTTAATAATTTCACGGGATATCCTTGTTTCATGAGCTATCCGTGGTGTAGTTTGGGACACTTCGGATTGGTGAAAGATTAAGATTCTGGTTGCGTTTTTAAGTGCGAATTATTGGCGAAATTTTCTTCGATACGTTGGAAAGCTTAGGAAGACGAGAATTTGACATTGCCTGGCTTCGATTCCCTTATTAGTTTGGAGTGCGTTGGTGATCGAAGTTGTGCTTTTCTATCGGAACTAGTACGGTAAGGTAAGGTTTCGGGGCAAGAGTACCATATAACCCCATACATTAATGATGCATTAAGACTAGTAGACTTTGTTTTTAAAGTTTTGTCGTGAAAGACAAAGAAGTGGAATGGGGCATTCCATTTAAAATC